ATCATCATCATCATCATCATCCAGTGTGGCAAATCCCTCAAATATCGATCTAACGAAATTTCCCCAATATCGGAAAGCAGATTGTCCTGAATCTTTCCCAATTCCCTTTGAGAGAGATTATTGGGACTTCAGGGTTAAAGATAATGAGAGAATGATAATTTTAAGATCACATTATAGGGGGAGTTTTAGATCTAATCTATTCACAGATGCCTCTTGAACAAGCTAGAGATTTTGAGGCTTACTGAAAGATGGTGTATTCCCAATGTGGGATTAATTCAGAGCATCTCAGGAGAAAATTTCAATCTATTCAAAGAAACCTGAGAAGTCTTTTGCTCAACCTGGAGCACATTTAACTCAGTATCTTAATAAGTTGCTAGAACAGGAACGGGTCACTTCCTTAGACCAGATGAGAAATATGTTTGGATTAGAACAATTTTACAGTGGTGCCTCACTTTACGATTGCCCCGCATTACAATGAAAACGCATTATGATGATCTTTTTGCGATCTATGGCAGGTCTGTGGAATTTCCCATGTGACATCGTCTCCTTATCACCCCCAAACAAACGGGTTAGTGGAAAAATTTAAGGGAACTTTAATGAGGATGAAAAGTGCATATGTGGCAGAGAACCCAAATGATTGGAATAATAAATTACAACCACTGCTATATGCTTATCGAGATATCCCGAGACAGCACAGGTTTTAGTCCTTTTGAACTTTTGTTTTGTCATTGTCACATGCCCGCCTGTCCCTTGGGTTGTTTTACCAATCAAAGGGCACAAGCTACATGTTGTGTTGCTGCCACCAGCTGATTACATCAACATTATTAATTATTAATCACAGAGGTCCAGGTAATGTATCATTTTAAGAAGAACCAAATAGAAGTTGTTACAGGTGATCAATGTTGTTAACTCTTAACAAATCATCCTACATCATCCACTCTCAACTGCCAACCCTCTCTCTCCACTCTAAATTCTAAATTCCCCAGTCCTCCAATCTTTAATCTTCTCTGTGGAGACTCTTAGATCTCATGACTCCGCCTCTCCGGCACTCTCACTGGCTCATGCAGATAGCACATTAATATTCATGACCTGGGCAGACACCACAGTTGTAAAGTAAGAGGGCCTTTAGATTTGTTACAACAGAACTGAGAAGTTTATAAACAAAGGGACCCTGAGTCGACTGTAGAATACATGGATAATTTAATGAACACTTTACAAAGATCAGAAAAGATGGTACGACAAAAAAGCCCGAGAAAGAACATACGGCCCTGGAGAAGTAGTAATAATGTTGAGACCCATAAAAGGAAATAAGTTGTAGTTAGCGTGAATCGGACCGTACTCAGTGGTCTCCAAAATGAATGATGTCAATTATATTCTCTAAAGGGAAGATGCAGGCCGTAAAGTACTCCATGTCAACATGTTAAAACCCCATTATAGGAAAGAAAACTGGGTTCTATATAGTGTCAAGGAAGACGCAGAAAGGTACACCCTCCTAAAACAAACTAATTAAGGGGGGAGGGATGCAGCGTTTACTCCGGTGATGAATATTTATATTGAGATTTGCATGCACCAATAGGAGTTGGTTGGGGCACAGTTAAAGGGAGGAGAAGAAAAGGAGAGTCGAGGAAGAAGGTTGCTTAGTTAAGAGTTAATGACACTGATACGTGGCCCGGACCTCTGTCATTAACAGTGGATAAAGTTGATGTAATCAACTGATGGCAGCTGAAAGACATGTAGCTTGTATCTTTGCTTGGTGAAACAACAAAGGGAAAGGCGGGAACATGACAGTGCGGAAAGGGGAACTGGTTATATATTGTCATTTAGCAGATGTCTTGTCCAACAGGACCTTTTTCTTGAAGGTTTATACCTTATGTTGGACTCTTGAGGAAGGATTAGGAATCCCATTGTTGTAATCAGTTTTCCATTTACCTCATTCTATGTTTACAGATTGAAATGTGGCTTTTGGCCCTCAAACATTTTGACATCCACAGCACCACTTGCTCATTTCATGTGGCCCAGGATATCTGGCTTCCAACAGGTTGTTGGGAGATATTGGTTAGTCATTTTGGTGGTCAGTGCAACTTTGTTAGAAGGCTTTAATGACCAGCTTAAAAGAGGTAGCTGTCAATTTCATAAAAAGGGGACTTCTTTCCATCTCGGTTATCTGGGTGACTAATCATCAGTTATTAGTTCATCTTCTGGGAGCAAGATACTTGATAGAAAAGATACTTGAAAGAGTGGTTGGGGGTAAGGGCATAGTCCCCTAATCTTTATCTGTTCATTCATTGTGCTAGGAGCCAGTTTCATCGGAAACAGTTTTTGTTGGATGAAGAAGGTCCATGTGCAGTGAAATTGCCCTGGCCTAATAGGCTGCAGAACCATTCTGCTGTTCTGCCCAAGAAATTAGGTTTGCTGTCCCCATGCACTGTGCAACTCGGGCTGCAGAACACATCTACAGCTGGCATCTCAGTCAGGACAGCCTTTCATGCCCCGAGCCTTTAAAGGAGATAGTGCAGTAAAAGCGGAGCTAAAGATGATCCCCACATGTTCTGATTGTATACAGATATTTCTACAGCATACAGTCTTCAGAAGACTGCAACTCTTCATTTTCAAGTTCCAACGTTCAGTATCAAGCCTGGCATACTTGCTGCCACCACTGTATTTAACATAATAGTAGCATCTGTTACTATAGTTGCCATCTGAGAGAAATATTAAGATACTTCTTTTAAAACCTGCGTAAGAAAGTAAATTAAATACATATCTGAGATGGGGAAAAAGTTTTACCTGTATTCACAGGGGACTGAAAAGTAGCTGATGTGCTGTCTCCTACATTTCTCTTGGACTCCAACATCTGCCTCACTGTGCCAGCATTTCTATGAGACAAAGATTCATGTTAGTTATGCTAAACAGTGCAGTTTGGCAATGAACACTACAGGAGCTGAGAGACAAATATTTTAAAAATCTAAGTATTCATAATTTGATCACAAATTCCAGAGTGTCTCATTCACAACAATACTGGGTTCCTCACACTTAGTAGTAGTTAAGTCCTTAAGCAGGACTTAAATTCAATTGCTGAAAATTAAGAAACAAAAAGATTCCTAGCTCTAAGAATTCATATACTACAGAAATGAGTTACCAATTTATTTTGAAAGCTTACCGATATGCCACATTGTTGATACCACCTGTGTCACTCACTGCTTTTCCTGGAGAATGGGGTGTGCTTTGTAGATTCTACAAAGTGACAATAGTTAATGTGAGACCAATGTCTTAAAACTCATATTTCAAACATAATTCTATTCATCTGGCAGACTGCTCTACCTTCAGAAACTCCTACAGTAGTTTGTAAGTGGCTAATATACAATATCACTTCCCATCTTCCTTGTTGCCTGGTATTCAGATTATACATACAAGCACTGGTGTATCTACCTGTATCATCATAACAATCCTGCATGTTTTCACACCATAGGGAGTAAATCTGCAGGTGCAAAAAGTATTAAAGTAAGGTATCTGAATTTTCCTTCATACTTCAAAAAAGAAAAGAGGGAAAAAGACAATCAAGGGCTGTTCACTGAAATAAGTTTTCTGCTCTGGTCTGAGAGTCACATGACCAGACTAATAAATATTGGCAAGTCTCAACTATCACAAAAATGTATAGCACACCTGAAATCTACTTCATATCATGTTATGTATGCTTCAAATTAATAAGCAAACAAACTTTTGTAAGAATACATTTTGTGCAGTTTCCAAGCGATGACTCATTTTAAAGTGCCTTAATATTAATAGAAGGATTCTGACCTCCCTTTTCTATTTTCTGGAAAACATAGCAGATAAGATTGTCCAACTCTAAAATATAAGGAATAAAGGGTTTCCAACAGCTTTACCAAATTAACAAATCCCCTTCTCCACATAAATAATGCATAGCCATCTAGCAGTTTGCCTAGGAGTGCTTTTTATGCCAGAGAGATAATGTCAGATAAGTCCAAGATGGTCACCATAAAAATAATTATTTTGTGCCAAACAGTAAACCAGCAAAATAATTCAAAACTCAATCTTTACTTCTATTTTCTTCTTGGAATCTTCTCTGGCAGCTCCAAAACGTTTTGTCAATCTTGCAATTTTAGCCTGAAAGTAACATACAGAAGGCAAGGAAATCAACTACATTTGCAGTATGCATTGCACTAAGAAGCCAAAACAGCAAGATCTTTAAAAAGTAGAACAAAATTTAAAAAGTTGATTAAATTAAATATATCTTTTTATTGTTATTATGGAAAATGATTTATAGAACAAATAAAAAGAGATTACTTACCTGTAGCTCTGGTTCTTTGAGTGGTTATCTGTGAATTCACACTAATGGGTTAACCTGCGCCCGCACAGAGCAGCCTCGGAACTTTCTAGCTCAAGCACATGGTGCCGGGACCTTCCACACGCTGGCTACAAGTTTGCCCCCTGCACCAAGTGCCTCAGTTCCTTAGAACCATGTAGCACATGTGATGTGCAGTGGGGAGGAAGGGCAGGAAGTGTGAATCCACAGATGACCACTCGAAGAGCCAGAGTTACAGGTAAGTAACCTCTTTTTCTTCTTTATGGTCTCTGTGAATACACACTAATGGGTTACTAGCAAGCTCAATTACCCGGAGAAGGGACGTCACAAGAGTACTGAAGACATGACAGCACAACCCACCGCTACCTCAGTCTTGGCCCGGACGTCAAGGCGGTGGTGACAGGCAGTTGATGCTCCTCACCAAGGCAAAACAAGCAGCAGGAGTGCCCGTCAGAAAGGGGAATCTTGTTGGAACAGACCTCGCACCTCTTGAAGAGGCCTGGCGAGGCCACAGACTCAGAGCCAGTAAACACAACAGGCCAATTTTATTCTTTTAGAGCAAACTCATTGTGAAGAAGAATGGCTGACGGCCCAAACAAAGCCAGGAAGGTCCAACGTAGATTAACTAGGCAAAGGCCTGCTGTTGGTTTTTTTTAGAACACATGAAGTTCCTAACGAAGCTGCTGTAGCAGCAGTAAAAAAGGAACTAAGGCACTCGGTGCTTGGGGCAGAGCTATAGCCAGTGTGTGGGAGGTCCCAGCACCATGTGCTCGAGCTAAAAAGTTCCAAGGCTGCTCTGCACGGGCGCAGATTGGCCCATTAGTGGGCATGCTTCCAAGGCTGCTCTGCGCAGGCGCAGATTGGCCCATTAGTGTGCATGTACAGAGACCAGGAAGAAGAACAGTATATTTTTAATTCATGTAACCATCTAAACATAGATGCTTTAAAAGATATTACGCAGTCCACCTTTGATAAGAAACTGAAGCTTTCCTTATGATATGAAGATTGCCTCAAAAGAATGGAATGCTACTTACTCTTGATTCAGTAAAATCTTAGTAAACTTGAAATAGACAAGTTACTTACCTGTAACCATGGTTCTTCAAGTGGACCTCTGTGAATTCACACACTTGGGTTAAACAGCGCATGCACTGGTCTTCTCGGAGTCTTCTAGAGCTTTTCTCAAAAAGTAACAATGTTTAGAGTTGCCCCTATCACACATGCTCCAGCCACCTCAGGCTTCAGTTCCATTTATCCGCCACAAGAGCCTGAGCTCAGTATATACATAACCAGTGATGGATAGTGGGGAGGCTGCGTGGGATGTGTGAATTCACAGAGGTCTACTTGAAGAACCATGGTTACAAGTAAGTAACCTGTCTTTCTTCTTTGTGGCCTCTGTGAATGCACGCACTTGGGTGACTGACAAGCTCACTTACCGGAAGGAGGGCCGTCACTGTAGAACAGATGTTAAAACAGACCTGCCAAAACTTGTCTCCTTTTTAGCATGAAGGTCAAATCTAGTGTGTCATGAACGTGGACACAGTAGACCAAATGGCCGCCCTGCAGATGTCAGGAATGTCCACACCACGCAGCAAAGCAGTAGATGTTGCCATGGCTCTCGTAATGACCTTTTAGACCTTCGTAGGATGAAGCAATTGTGGAGACAAGCCATCTAGATATGGTCGAAGACGAAGCAGGTGAAGCCTTGTGTAGTCCATGGAAACACAGAAAAAGCCTTGGGGCTGAACGAAAGTCCCTTGTTCTAGATATATAATAGGCCAAGGCTCTTCGGAGGTCCAGGAAGTGGAGCATGCGCTCGACGTCAGAGGATGGTTCAGGAAATAACGTTGGTAACGAGAGGGGTTTACTGAGATGGAAATCAGAAACAACTTTAGGCAAAAAGGAAACATCTGGATATAACAAAACCTTGTCTTTGAAGAATTGCAGGTAAGGAGCATCTTATCTTAGAGCTGCCAATTCACTTGCTCTTCTAGCAGACTTAACAGCAACTAGAAACGTTTTAAACGATAGTAAACATATATCACATGAAGCCATGGGTTCAAAGGGACGGCGAGTCAGTGCACGTAGTACAAGAGTGAGAGACCATTCTGGTACTGGGAGGACGAATATTAGAAAGTCCTTTCAAAAACAACTTTAGTGTTGGGTTAGAAAACAAACGAGCTGATTCAGAGTCTCTGGGTTGGAAGAAAACTATGGCTGAAACGTAAACCTTGAGCGTTGATAACACAAGTCCCAAATCAAGCAGGTTGTGTAAATACATCAGCAAAGTTTAGAAGGAGACAGGGGATGATTGTAAATGTCTTGATTCAGTAAATTTAAGGAAATTGTTTCACTTATATTTGTAAAGTAAATTAGTGGATGGCTTTCTAGTTTTATCTAGCACCTCTTTGATTAATGGGAAATCCTCCATGCTGTGAGGTGAAAAGACTGCAGGTCTGGGTGTAGAATGTTGCCCGAGTCCTGAGTCAGAAGATGTGGTGACATCGGCAGTCTGAGGACATCCACATCCATCTCCTTGAGGGTGGAGAACCAGGGCTGACGTGGCAACCATGGTGCAATGAAGATGGCCTGTGCTCGTACTGGCCTCATCCTGACCAAAGCCCTTTGGATTAGTGGAACAGGTGGGAACAGGTATAGCAGATTTGCTTGCCAGGGAATCATGAATGAGTCTCCTAGGGAGCGAGCACCCATGCCTGCACGAGATGCATACCTGTTGCACTTCTTGTTCGTGACTGATGCAAACATGTCTACGTATGGTAGGCCCCACCTGTTGCAGAGCCTCTGAAAGATGTCCTCATCTAGTTCCCATTCGTGGGACTGCCCTGTCAAATGACTCAGTTCGTCCGCGAGTTGGTTCTCGGTCGTTGATATGTGATTTGCTACTGGGAAAACATGGTGAAGGTAGCACCATTCCCATAGATGCACAGTCAGGTAGAGGAGTGACATGGATCTTGTCCCTCCCAGTTTGATGATATAAAACATGGCTGTGGTGTTGTTTGTGATCACCTGCACACCATGACCCTGTATCATTAGTAGAAATACTCTGAATCCCTTTATAACTGCTATCATCTCGAGGTGATTGATGTGCAGACTTCTGTCTCTTTGCGACCACAGGGCATGGATCCTATGATGCCCACAGTGTGCTCCCCACCCTGTGGAACTGGCATCTGTAGTGACCTGGACGGAAAACTGTAGAGGACGAAAGGGACGTCCGATAAGAAGATGTGGTTTGAAGGCCCACCATTGCAGTTGATGTGCTATTTCTGGGGTAACTGGTAACTTTTTCCTGGAGTCGTCTCGAAGTGGGTCGAACAGGCTTAAGAGCCATGCCTGCAGAGAACGCATCTTTAGACAAGCATGTGGCAGTGCCGACGTCGTTGAAGCCATGAGGCCCAGCAGATGCTGAGCATGATGTGCTGAAATGTAAGAGTGAGGTTGGAACTTTTGAACAGCCTTCCTCAATTTTCATATGCATTCTGGTGGTAGAAAAATCCTTGCTTCTAGGGAATTCAGTCTCGCTCCTATGTAGTTGATGACTGGAGATGGAACCAAATTTACTTTTTAAAGATTTATTGTGAGACCCAAGCTTTGTAGAACATGTAGTGCGAAGCTGGTGTCTCGTAAGGCTCTCCCCTCTGGATTTGGATACTATCAACCAATCGATGTATGAAAAGACTTTGATGCCGTGAAGACACAGGAACGCAGCCACTGTTGCCATGCACTTTGCGAAGGTGCGTGGAGCTGTGGAGAGCCTGAATGGAAGGGCGCAGAATTGGAAAATCTTGCTTTGGAAGATGAACCGTAGAAACTTTCTGTGATGTTGCTGTATTGATATGTGAAAGTATGCGTGCTTTAGGTCTTTCACCAGAAACCAGTCTTTCCTTTTTTGTAGGTGGACAATTGCCTCTAGCATGACCATCCTGAACCGTCATGTGTACAGATAAGTGTTCAGATCCCTCAGATCCAGAATAGGTCATATCCCTCCGTCCTTTTCTGCACTGCGAAATACCAGGAGTACAGTAAAACCCGTTGGCTATGTCCCGGTGTGGTACTTGTTGTATGGCTTGTTTTTGGAGAAGAGTGAGAACTTCTTCCAGGACTGCATTGAAGGATGTAACTTTGATGTTTCCTAGAGGAGGGAGATCTACGAACTCTAATCTGTAGCCAAATTGGATTATATTTAGTACCCAACCATCCTTTGTGACGTTTGCCCATTTGGATAAAATGGAGCCAAGCGGGTGTTTGTAGAATTTGTAGAGTGTGGAACGTAGGAGTCAAAGATACTACTTTGATTTCTTGTTGGGAGGACGATAGGACTGACACTTTTGAGATGACTGCTGATGCATATAAGACGGGGCAGACGAAGAGAATTGGGAAGATGTGCCTTGTGAGTTTTTGAAGGAAAGGTAAGTGTGGGAGGAAGACTGCTGATATTGCTATTGAGGGTATTGTTTTTGCCACTGATTTCTTTGAAATTTGGGCTGCTGATGGATGGTACAGTGGTGCCCCACATGACAACGACCCCACATGACGACAAAATCGTTTGACGAGTTTTTTTGCGATCGCTATAGCGATCACAAAACGATGGTTCCTATGGGTTTTTTCGCTTTACATTGGTTAGGTGCTTGCTTCGCGAACCATTTGTTCACAAAACAATGATGCTTCCCTTTGCAAAATGGCTTCCCTCCCTTCACAAAATGGATGTTTTCCGGACAGAGGCTTCACAACACAGGGATTTTAAACAGCTGATCGGCAGTTCTCTATGGGTGATCTTCGCTGGACG